GTCACCCGCTTGAAAGACAAGCACTCACAGGCTCTCCTACCGCTGCACCTGTGGAAGCTGCGTGCTTGATCCTTAATGACCCTATACCTAGCATTGAAGCAAATCCAAGGGAGCAAATTTGTAGAGAAACGACTCTGGAGAGCAACGAAAACGCTCCACAGCGCCATCTCGTGGCATTTCGGCGGAACTGCCGCGGCCCGACTTTTCCCACGCTTAAGATTTCCAGCCCATTTCTTTGATTCAGCGTTAGGTCATTAAGGATCCAGCAAGCCACTTTGGCCGTTGCAGCGGGAGCATAGCGGCTAGGGCTCTTGGCTTGCAGTCACAGGACCCCGGTTCTTTCTCTGGCTCTCCATCCAATCCCACCGTCATGCCGGAGTGATTCCTGAGTGCAGAGCCAGGAGAACCTCTCAGTATTGCTGGGTTGGTGGCCCCCAAACCATGAACAAACCAAATGAAACCCAAACAGCCTCAGTTCCTTGATCGCAGATTCCCTCACCCCAGCTTGGGGGGGTTCTGAACTGCCTCTTGTTGTACCCATGCCCCCTCTTCCTTGTAGAGGAGGCTTGGGGCACCCTCAGAACGTGGGGTGATGGCAGGTGGGGTTGACTATAACAGCCCTTTCCAAAGGGCTGGGTCACAGACAGAGCAGTGTGAGTTCAGAATTTTTCTTGCTCAAAACGAAGAGAACAAGAACAAAATAACCTTGCCATGCTTTGGGTGGACCAGGTTCAATTCCAGGTTCAAGCAGGTCGCCTCAGGCCATTTTCTCCTTCTTGCTACAAAGTTGGAGGTGGACAGGGACTCTGCCCCTCTGTGTCCCTGTGTCTGAGATGCAGGGGGGCCGTGCCACGCCCCCACCGATAAAGCAGGTGCTCAGCCCTCTGAACTCCTCTCCGTGGGTCTGTCTCACCACTCAGGGAGCAGATGGGGTGGGATTTGGGGGCCGCACCTGGCAGCACTTGAGGGCTGCTCCCTGCTCTGTGCTCAGGCTACCAGTGGACAGTGGGTATGAAGGAAGGCCCCAGGCTCCCAGCTGGCCGACATTCTCTCCGGCCTGGTGTGCTCCCTCCTATCCTTTGTTTTTACCTTCCTTGGAAGTTCTTAGATGAGAACAGGTTTGTTCCTGGGCTCTGCACTCAGGGATCACTCCATGCTAGTGGGGGACCATATGGGATGTCAGGGATCGATCTACTGACCATTTGCAAGGTAAGGGCCTCACCTGCTGTTCTCTCTCTCTCTCCAGATACTTTTTTCTTTTCAAACTTCAAATGCAGGCATCTTGCCATCTTTGCCCATGCTGGGGTTTATTAAGCTCTTGGGATTACTGTACTTAGTCATCACTCTGAGAGGGGCTCAGGAAATGCCCTAGGGTGCTGGGATCTGAGATGTAGCATAGAGAGGAACACAAATATCTTATATCTTGCATGCAATTGACATGGGTTCAATCCTCCGCATCCCATATGGTCCCGGAGCACCACCAGAGGTGATTCCCGACTTCAGAGGCAGGAGTAACACCTCTTTGGCTCTCAAGGCCTCAGGGAACTTCTGGGGGTACTGAGGCTGGAATCCTGCTCAGCCGAGTGCAAGCAAGCACTTTACCCTGCATCATCTCTGTATCCCTGTGTCCGGCTGTTATTAGATATGCATCGGTATAAAGGATATTGATGAAAATTAGCATCTAAAGAAAATGGCCCTGGCATGGTTTTTTAATGGGGTCAATTCGAAACAGTTGAAATGGACTTGCCGGGACAGTGCTGATATTCTTACCAGCTTTGCTCCTGATCCAGTGTCTCTCTGGCTCTCTTTGGAAAACATTTGAGCCAAGGGCCCCCTCCCCCATCCTTTCAAGGAACCAGCAAATGGCTTTCTATGCACAGTAAAGTTCACAAACTGTCTCCAATCCACCTTATTAAAGACCACTACCAGGGCCATTTTTCTAAGAGATATTTTTGAGGAATATATATATATGTATATATTTTTTTGGGGTCACACCCAGCAATGCTCAGGGGTTACTCCTGGCTCTGCACTCAGGAATTACTCCTGGCAGTGCTTGGGGGACCATATGGGAAGGTGGGAATTGAACCCAGGTCTGCTTGTGCAAGGCAAACACACTCCCTGGTATACTATCGCTCCGGCCTTGGGAATATTTCATCTAAATGCTTATGTAAACCTAAGAAAACCCTAAATAGAAGTGCAGAGATACTTCAGAGGGTAAGGTGCTAGCTTGCACATGGCTGACCTGATTTTCAAGCTCTGTACCTCATAGTGTTTCCTGAGTCCCCACCCCCCACCCCCCAATATGGACACTGTAGCTCAAAGGCACAGTGGGGTCTCAAGAAAATAAAGAGGGCCTGAAGTATGGAGATTTGGGCTGTTTTTCCAATTTCAATGTATTCACTGTAGCACCACAGCTGATCCCTGCCATAAAACCCCACAACCCAGGGCCACAGCCAAGCCAGAGCTGGAGTAAAGAATGAGACACTGGTGCCCCATGACAGGCCCGAGCGAGGGAGTTTTATTACCTGCTTATTAATTCTTACTCAGTTACCTTCCTCCTGGCTTCCATCACCAAGACCCATTAATTATAAGTCAACATACATGTGAAGTTCACAAGGGCTGGCTGGAGCCCAGGTGATAATAGGCAAGTATCTATCTCTTAGAGATCTGACGTCACAGGATGCCTGTCATGTGCTACCAGGGTTATTTCCTTCTTGGATGTACCTTGTAGCATCCCTAAACGCCTCGTCTAAAGGAAACCTTTCACAGAGGCCTGTTCTGACATTGCCTGTCACATGTTACTGGGGTTATTTCCATCCTGGCTGCACTTAGTGGCCCCGTACTCCTTCTTGTCCAGACATTTTTTACCAAGGGGGCCTTTGCTGAACTCAGGATTGTTACTCAGGGACCGATTCACCCAGTATGAGTTTTATGATGTTTCTTAAGACTTGAGGGGAACAAGAAGGCCTTCCCACACTCTTTGCATACGTAAGATTTCACTCCTATGTGCACTTTCATATGCTGAGTGAGGCCTGAGCGCACAGTGAAGGCCTTCCCACACGTCTGACACTGATGCGGTTTCTCCCCACTGTGAATTTTGCTGTGTTTATTCAGGTTCCGAATTTCAGAGAAGGCCTTCCCACATTCCTGACAAACGTAAGGTTTCTCTCCAGTGTGAATTTTCCTATGACTATGGAGGCTTGAGGAATGACAATATGCTTTCCCACATTCCTCACACATAAAAGCTTTCTCTCCAGTATGAAATCTCCTATGCCGATGGAGCCTGGAGTTGGTAATAAAGGCCTTCCCACAATCTTGACATACATACGGCTTCTCTCCAGTGTGGATTCTCCTGTGTACAGTAAATATTGAGAATTTACTAAAGACCTTCCCACACTCTTGACATACATATAGATTCTCGTCGGTATGAGTTTTGATATGCATAGTAAGGGCGGTGGATCGAGTGAAGGCCTTTCCACATTCCTTACATTTGTGAGGTTTCTCTGCAATATGAGTTTGCGTATGCAGATTAAGGCCTGCAAACGTGGCAAAGTCCTTTCCACATGTCTGACATTGATGGCTCTCTTCACCATGCATTTTCCTGTGCTTAATCAGGTACTGATATTGCGAGAAGGCCTCCCCGCATTCCTTACAGACATAAGGTTTCTCTCCAGTGTGAATTTTCCTGTGAATACGAAGGCTTGAAGAATAACAGTAAGCCTTCCCACATTCCTCACATACAAAAGGTTTCTCTCCTGTATGAAAACTCCTATGCTGAAGGAGACTGTGACGACTAATGAAGGCTTCCCCACAATCTTTACATACATAAGGTTTCTCTCCAGTGTGAATTCGCCTATGCACTGTAAGTCTTGAGGATCTCGTAAAGGCCTTCCCACACTCCTGACACTTAAAAGGCTTCTCTCCAGTGTGAGTTTTCATATGCACAGTGAGGTCTGAGGGTCGGGTGAAGGCCTTCCCACATGCCTCACATTTATGGGGTTTCTCTCCAATATGCATTTTCCTATGTACAGAGAGATCTGTGAACAGAGCGAAGGCCTTCCCACATACTTTACATATATGAGGTTTATGACTCTCCTGGTGTCTAATAAGGCGGGAGGGGTAGCTGAAAGTTTTCCCACAGACCTCACATATGTATGGCTTCTCTCCAGTGTGCGTTTTCCCGTGATTCAAAAGGTTTGAGTAATGTGCAAAGGCCTTTCCACATTTCTTACATACATACGATTTCTCTTCGTTGTGCGTTTTCTTGTGCATAGAACAGCTTGAATAACAGGCAAAGACCTTCCCACAGTCCTTACATGAATGAGATTTGTCTCCTGTGTGCATTTTCCTATGTGCAGAAAGGCTGGCGAAATGAAGAAAGGCCTTTCCACAGTCAGTGCACAAATAAAGTTTCTCTTCACTATGAATATTCCTGAGTAAACTGAGGCTTAAGGGCTGGGTAAAAGCCTTCCCATTCTCATTACATACATACGGTTTCTCTACCGTTTGAACTCTCCTCTGTATAATAGGGTGTGAGGAATGATGGAGGGGCTGCCCACACTCTTTCCAAGTACCTGACTTCTCTCCTCTGTGGACATTTATAGGGTCAAGCCGGTGTGACATTTGATTCAATGTTTGTCTTTGCTGTTGATATTCCTGGGATTTCTGTGTACTCTGGGTTTCTATGGGAACCTCATGGTGCCCAGAACATGGGAAGGCTCCCCCACACTCCTCACACTTGGATGGCTTCTGTTCACGGTGACTATGCTTTTGGCCCTCTCGGCATGAGGGACTCGCTAAAAACAGTGCTCTTCTCTCACAGTCTTGGGGCTGTCGCACTGTGGGGTTTTGTGTCCATGGATTGTGCGGAACATACTCAGAGGAGCTTTTCCCAGAAGAGGGCTTCTTTGGGGCTAGGCAGCTCTCTCCATTCTGATCAACCTCAGACGACGTCCCAACTGTCTCGGCATCCCAATGGTGCTGAGGGCAGGACTGCTTACTCGAGACTTTGTCACACTGTGCTGGGTCAGAGACATCCCACCAGGACTGGCTGCTTCTCTGTTGAACAGGAGAGAAGGATTGCAATTACTACTTTAGTCCTTAAGAGTCTCCATGTCTAAAGAAATCAAGCCCTGCGGGGTGGTTTCTAACATGTCCACCACACAAATGCTATTCCCGACAGGTGGATGGCTCTTCCCTGGGAATGACCTAATGTATCTCTAAGATGGGTGCACAAAATTAAAGGATGAGGGTTATTAAGCAGCGTAAAGCTTTTTCCAATTCAATGAACAAATAGATTAAATGGAAATAAGGCCCTCTGCAAAACAATGAATTTTGAGTTTTGAGCAGAATAAAATACACCTGAGTCTGGGTTCTCTTCTAGCTCACTGTGGAGCCCGTGATGCGTGTGTGAAGGCAACACTGCATCCCCACACAACTGAGATGGACCACGGGGGCCACTGAAAACATCTCACCACAAGAGGATTCCTCTCCGGGATCAATGGCTCTTTGTTCTTTTCGTTTTGTAGTCTGTATTTATTTTGAGGGTGGCCACACTAAGCAGTGCTCAGGGATCACTGTGGTAGATTTCTGGGGACCATATGGGGTGCTGGAGATGGAGTCCAGGTTTCTGCCCCTGTGCAAGACAAGTGCCTTTCCCACTGCATTGTAACTGTAGCACTGTAGTCCTCCTGTTGTTCATCGATTTGCTCGAGCAAGCCCAGTAACGTCTCCATTGCGAGACTTGTTACTGTGTTTGGCATATCGAATACGTCACGGGGAGCTTGCCAGGCTCTCTGAGAGGAGCGGAGGAATCGAACCCGGGTCGGCCAGGCCGGCTGCATGCAAGGCAAATGCCCTACCGCTGTGCTAACTAGGGCTGAAAAAACAGTTCTGTTTAACAGTGAGCATCATGCTTGCCTATGATCAAATGAAAGATCACAGTTATTTCTGTAGTCTTAAAAAAGAGGCCATAGGCTGGAGCGATAGCACAGCAGAGAGGGCATTTGCCTTGCATGTGGCCAACCCGGGTTCGATCCCTGGCATCTCTGGTCCCAGAGGAACACCAGGAGTCAATCCTGAGTACAGAGCCAGGAGTAAAGTTACCCCCTGACAACTGCTGGGTGTGACCCAAAAAGACCCCCCACCCCACCAAAAGATGCTGGAGCAATAGTACAGTGGGAAGGGCATTTACTCTGCATATTGTGGTCCTGGATTTGATCCCTGGCATGGTCCACTGAGCACTGCCAGGAGTAATTTGTGAGTGCAGGGCCAGGAATAACCCCTGAATATCACCAGGTGAGACCCCAAAAGTAATAATATAATAATAATAATAAATTATACATTCATTATATTATTATAAACAATATCATATTATTATATATAAATAATAAATATATAAACAATATATAAAATAATAAATAAATATAAATAAATACAAATAACAAATAATAAATATAATAAATAAAATAAATATAAAATGTATAATATATTATTAGAAATAATATTATGTTACTGTGTCTGGCATATCGAATACTCTCGGTAGCTTGCCGGGCTCTCTGAGAGGGGCGGAGGAATCGAACTCGGGTCGGCCATGTTGGCCACGTGTAAGGCGAACGCCCTACCCGCTGTGCTATCATTACAAATAATAAATAATAAATTTCTTTAGATTTTAAAATTAATGATTTTAGTACCAAGTGGGGTTAATGCTCTCTATTTTAAGAATTAGGCTCCAGATTTCCTCCCTCTGATTTCCAGACACCATAGATGAGGTGGCGGGGATGGATCCCGAACCCCCACCGTTCAAGTTGCATGTTCAATCCACTGACCTATTCTCCGACATAATAATATTTATATTCAACTTGTAAATCTTACCAGCTCACTTGTATTCGGTGATCCTGTTCCCAAATCAAACTGCAGCCATGCCACATCTTGGAGCTGTGGTTTGGGTTCTGGAATCAATCAAAATATGCAATGGAACAATTAGTTAAGTGGAACGTAGCTGAATGAGGCTGGGCAGCTGGAGGACACCTCTATGGACCTCTCAGTCCAAACAGGCCCACAGCAAAGGGAAGGTCCTTGTTGAATCGCCACAAGCAGCCCAGCAATCCCCAGATTAACTTAAGGGTTTTTTTTTTTTTTTTTTTTTGCTTTTTGGGTCCCACCCGGTGATGCACAGGGGTTACTCCTGGCTCTGCATTCAGGAATTACTCCTGGCGGTGCTTGGGGGACCATATGGGATGCTGGGAATTGAACCCGGGTTGGCCACGTGCAAGGCAAACGCCCTACCCGCTGTGCTATCGCTCCAGCCCCAGGGTTTTGTTTTTTGACCAGATCTGGTGATGCACTGGAGACCATATAGGATGCCACGGATCAATTTGGGTCAGCCACATGCAAAGCAAGAACCTTCCTGATCTTTCTGGCTCAATTTAGCTTTATTATGGTTCCCTCGGGCTGGAGCGATAGCATAGCGGGTAGGGCGTTTGCCTTGCACGCAGCCAACATGACCGACCCAAGTTCGATTCCTCCGCCCCTCTCGGAGAGCCTGGCAAGCTACCGAGAGGATCTCGCCCGCACGGCAGAGCCTGGCAAGCTACCCGTGATGTATTCGATATGCCAAACACAGTAACAACAAGTCTCACAAAGGAGACGTTACTGGGCCCGCTCGAGCAAATCGATGAACAACGGGAGGACCGTGACCGTGATGGTTCCCTCATTTACTATTTAAACAGTAATACAAAAAATATTTCTTAGTGGGTCAGAGAGAACAGCAGGGAGGCATCTGATTGGCATGAGACTGATGGGCTAATCCCTGAACACCACCCAAAGCAAACCCTGGGATCCACCAGGTATAACTGCTGAACATTACAAAGACAAAAAAATAATAATATTCCTAGGATCCTCAAAAACCATGCTGTTGATCCAAGGGCAAAGGGAAGCAAGACAGAGAGTGCAGGAGGGGCCCAGCAGGAGAGGATACCTCGACATTGCTGGTGGCACATCAGCTGCCAAGGCACAGACAAGGTGACTGAGGGCCAGAAATCCCATGGCCAATTCTACACGCCTGACAGATAAGAGGAGGATGCTCAGCCCTGATCCGAGCAGGCTTGGAGATCTCAGCCCCGGGACCCGCATGCCTTTGTTCCTCTGCCGGTACCTTCATGCGTGTGGAGAGTGCTCTCAGCATGGTGGTGAGACATCTTATTATCTCATTCCTACTTTGGACAAACTGGCAGGCTACCGAATGTAACCTGCCCACACGGCAGAGTCTGGCAAACTCCCCGTGGCGTACCCAATATGCCAAATACCAGTCACAATGATGGGTCTCATTCTCTTAACCCTGAAAGAGCATTGAATATGGCACTTTTTAAACAAAATCTCAGGGCTAGGATGAAGGAGACGTTACTGGGGTCTGCTCGAGGTAATCGACGAACAACAGGATGGTTGTGATCGTGATCGTGATAGATGTAATGACAAAGTAATGACAAAGCCAAGAAAGCAAAGCGCAGGGTCATTCTGTGATGGACAGTCCGGGGGTGTGAAGGGCAGTGTTGAGAGACGCCTGGATCCAGGAACTTGAGGCAGTGCCAAGGTCAGCAGTGCAATTCACGTGCCTCAGGGGACCCTCAAACTGCCCAGGAAGGGCCTGAGCCAGGGAGGGTCCTCAGACACTCACCCGCACACACGCCTCTCCTCCCCGGCCTCAGGGCTTCTTCTTCCAGCCAGGAGATCACTGCAGGCTTCACCCCGCACTGCCCTGATCCCAGAGACAGAGGCATGGATTAGTGACAAGAAAAAGGTGACAGGCCAAACCAATTTTCTCCAAATCAAACCAGGGAAATTAATAAGAAGACAAGAACAGAATTTTCATGTGCTCCAGATTGGTGGTTATGAGGTACATAAGACCCACATTTTAATTTAAGACTGAAAGTGAGTCATGATGAAGTTTCTTAAGAATCACTGGAAGTGACCTCAAGCAACTAGCAGCATCTGATAGGGTGGGAACCTAAGAAAGAAATGAACTTGTTCCCATCTTCCCCTTCTGGGATCCTGGCTGTCTTGCCCATGAACTGTCTCCCGGTGCCATTTTTTTTATATATATATATTTTAATTTCATTTTATTTTTTGCTTTTTGGGTCACACCCTGCGATGCTCAGGGGTTACTCCTGGCTTTGCACTCAGGAATTACTCCTGGCGGTGCTCAGGGGACCATATGGGGTGCTGGGAATCGAACCTGGGTTGGCTACGTGCAAGACAAATGCCCTACTCGCTGTGCTATCACTCCAGCCCTCTCCGGGTGCCATTTAAGCCCACTAATGGCCTTGATTCAGAGACTCACAAATGAATCTCAGAACCCAGCAGCTAGCTGTGGAGATGGCTCCGAACCCCAATTACTTAAATTTTTAGACTACCATCTCATACTAATTTTTTTTCTTTGCTTTTCTGTTGAATCACTATGTGATAGACCCTTACAGACATCTTATACTATTCATAACAAGCAATAAAAAATAAATTAGCATCTGTCTGTGGGGCAGGCTTGAGCGGTGATGGGAAACTTTGAAATAATGGTGGTGGGATTGGTGTTGAAATATTGAATGTAATCAATTATTGCCAATAACTTATGATAATAAAATTTAAAAATTTTTAAAAATTGGGGCTGGAGCAATAGCACAGCAGGTAGGGCGTTTGCCTTGCACACGGCCAACCCAGGTTCGATTCCCAGCATCCCATATGGTTCCCTGAGCACTGCCAGGGCTGATTCCCGAGTGCAGAGCCAGGAGTAATCCCTGTGCATCGCCAGGTGTGACCCAAAAAGCAAAAAAAAAAAAAAAATTTAAAAAATTAAGTAGAAAAAAAATTATAGAAAGTAAAGCTTGATATACGACCCCCCCAAAAAAAGAAAAGAACTTGTGGCCAGAGTGATAGTTCAGCAGGACAGACATGTGCCTGACACACACAAACGGGTTTGATCCCTGGCATCCATATGGTTCCGGAGCACTGACAGGAGAAATTCCTGAATATATACCCAGGAGTAATCTCTGAGCATCGTGGGATATAGCAAACATAATCAAAACAAGACAAAACAAGAAAAAGGAATGAAGTTGCGGGCCTGGTGTGGTAGAACAGTGGGTAAGGCACCAGCCTTGTAAACTGCTGACCAGGTTAATCCACAGCATCCCCGTGAGCCCCAGAGCACTGCAAGGAGTGATCCTTCAGCACAGAGCCAGGAGGAACGTGGACGGTGGCCCCAAATCAAAACCCAAAGGAAAACCAAATCAAACACGATGAAGTGAAGTTTAGAACAGGAAGTAAATTAACTTAGCAATGGAAGGAACTATGTAGAGGAATCCGAGCATGGAGGGCACTTTCTTTGCGTGTGGTCAACCTGCGTCGATGTTCTGCATCCAATTTGGATTCCAGAGTCCACCAAGAGTGAACTCGGAGAACAGAGCCAGAAGTAACTGAACAGAGCCGGGTGTGACCCAATAACAAAGAGAGGCAAAATAGAAAGGACCGAGGGAAATAGTGATCCACACAGGTGTCACACAACCCGGACTACAGAATCACGGCCCCTCTTGAACACACAGCCTGAGCCCAGTCCCCAGTAACCTGTGTGGATCTGTCCCGGCATGGTAAGCCCACGTAGCTCTCACCGACGGCGCGCAGGTGCTGGTAGGTCTCCAGCATCACGTCCCTGTAGAGCTTCCTCTGAGAGGCATCCAGGTATGTCCACTCTTCCGGGGTGAAGCTCACGGCCACGTCTGGGAAGGTCACCACGTCCTGAGCCAATCAGAGCCAAACAGAGGGGCGAGATTCATGGTTTGTCTCTACCCTGTTCCCTGGGCTGTGAGAATGGGACCCCCGGAGCCCCAGAGGAGCACAGGGTCTCTTTCTCAGGAGGAACCAGTCTTGATATTCTTCTCTCCACGAGCCCTCGTAGCACTGTAGTACTGTCCTCCCGTTGTTCATTGATTTGCTCGAGTGGGCCCAGTAACGTCTCCATTGTGAGACTTGTTGTTACTGTTTTTGGCATATCGAATACATCACGGGTAGGTTGCCAGGCTTTGCTCTGCAGGCAAGATACTCTCAGTAGCTTGCCAGGCTCTCTGCAAGGGGTGGAGGAATCAAACCAGCTCAGCCAGGCTGGCCATGTGCAAGGCTAACACCCGACTGCTGTGCTATCACTCCACTCCTACTCACTCCAAGGCAGCCAAATTTGGTAAAACGTGATGCTATACCAGAAGGTTCCTGGAGGCACTGGCCTTGCACACAGATACCCCAGGGCCAATATTCCAGCATCCCTGATTCAGTGAGGACTGCAGAGAATAACACCTGAGCACAGACCACCAGGACTCAAAAAGCAAAGCTGGGTTTGGCCCAAACACTGAAGACACACACAACCCCTGCAACCCGTATCCCATGATCACTAGGGATGAGAAGAGGACACTCAACTTCCAGGGAGTGACTCATAGCTATGCATGGATGGATGTGCCTAGAGAACTCTAGCTCACAGTGAATTAAATATGCCCTGTGTCACTGTTGAAGTAGATAAATGTGTTTTAACATCAAGCATCCTGGCTGGGACCGTATCCTTTGCTCCATCTCCCTGGGACAGAAGCATGGTGGAATTGTGCACAGAGCAGTGAGTGAATGGGAGACTGTGTGACTGAGCAGGCGAGAATCTCCAGACTGAGAAGGACAAAATAGGGGATAACCCTCATCCTTGGGTTCCAGAGTCACTGTAATTGCCAGGGCTCAAATTGGGCCAGCACATCCCGGGGTCCCCTGATGCCCGTCACGTGTGAATCCACAGCCCACAAGCCACAGCCAAGAGTGATCCCTGAGCATATACACTGTGGCAAAAAAATAAATACAAAAGGAAACAAAGCAGAAGATGCAGGGCTGGTGACAATGGGATAGGCTGGTGATTCCTGCTGTCCCAGATGGCCCCCCAGGCATTGCCAGGTCAACACGAGAGTGCAGACCCAGGAAGAACCCAAGAATCACTGGGTCTCACCCTCCCAACCACTCCCAAAAGAAAGTAACAAACAAACAAAAAAACCTGAAAAAGTCAGCCATGGATCACCTAACCCAGTAGGGTCCTCCAGTCTGGCAGTAAGATCCTTGAGCAATGACTGGGAGTAATCCTTGACTACCCCTAACGTGGCCCAAACCCAAATCAACAAAACAAAAGAAGGGCAGAGAGACCTCAAACAGCAGAGTCCAGCGCTCTGACCAGGAGCCATGTCCCAGGGCTCCCTGCTGAAAGGGTCACACGCGGCAATGCACAAGGGTTATTCCAGGCTCATGCACTCAGGAATTACTCCTGGCGGTGCTCGGGGGACCATATGGGATGCTGGGGATTGAACCCGGGTCGGCTGCGTGCAAGGCAAACGCCCTACCCGCTGTGCTATCGCTCCAGCCCCAAATGTGTTTTGACATAGAATATCTTTGCTGGCCCCAGAGATCCTTTGCTCCGTCTCCCAGGAACAGGCGCATGCCTGGAACTGTGCACACAGCAGCGTGTGAACAGAAGACTGTATGACGGAGCAAGCGAAAATTTCCAGAGCGGGAAGGATAAAATAGGGGATACCCCATCTCCTGGGACACAGAGTCCCTGCAGCTGCCAGGGGGCAAACAAACCGCCGCACACTCCAGGGCCCCCTGATGCCCATTAGGTGTGAATCCACAGTCCAGAGCCCAGAGTGAGCCCTGAGCATGTCCACTGTGAAAGAAAAATATGAAAGGAAACAAAGCAGAAGATAAAGTAAGAGAACAGAGGAACCAAGGACAGCGGGCATGGGCTGGCGATCCCCGCCATCCCATATAGTCCCCCAAGCACTGCCAGGTGCAAGGCCGGAGTGCAGAGCCAGGAGGAAGCCAAGAATCCTGGGTGTGACCCTCACATCCCCTCAGAAAACACAGTTAAAAAAAAATACCGAAAAGTCAGCCATGGATCCCTGAACCCCATAGGTCCCCCAGTCTGGCAGGATGATCCTTGAGCACTGACTGGGAGTAATCCTTGACTACACCTCGGAGAGCCCGGCAAGCTACCGAGAGTATCTCGCCTGCACGGCAGAGCCTGGCAAGCTACCCGTGACGTACTCGATATGCCAAACACAGTAACAACAAGTCTCATGATGGAGACGTTACTGCAAGTAACGATGAACAACGGGAGGACCGTGACCGTGAATGTGGCCCAAATCCAAATCAACAAAACAAACCAGAAGCCACGTCCCATGGCTCCCTCCTGAAACGACCCTAGACAGATGGCCTGGAAGCCCTAGCGCTCCTGTCCCTGCATCATGTCATCTTGTCACTCTCCTCCTACCTGGGGACAGTGTGTCAGACTGCGCATCACCATTGTCTCTAGTCTGTAATTCCTGAAGGTCAGCAGGAGGCTCCGTGTGAAAACCTGGAGAAGTCAGAGGTGTGAGCAGCAGAGAGGAGCACCCCTCCCCGCTGCCCCCCTGCCCGGAAGTCCCTGCTTTGGAACTGGAAATGACCAGCAGTGCCCAGCTTGGTCACCGGCTCACAGAGCCATGAGCCATACACCGTCAGATGCTCCTTCCCCTCTGAGGGTCGAGAGTGGGTGGGGATCCAGGTTGTCTGTCACTCTCAGGGACGGCAAGGCAAGCAGCTGACCTGCTGTCCTCCCTCTCGTGACCCCTGGGGATCATATTCACTGAAAATGCTATGAAATTAAACAGGAAGCTAGTGGCACAGATGGAAACCAGGTCCGAGGCCAGAGCGAAAGCACATGGGGAGGGCACTTCATGCCTTCATCTGACTGACCCTGGTTCGATCCTCCGCATCCCATAAGATCACCCAAGGCCACCATGAGAGATAGCTGAGTGCAGAGTCAGGAGGAAGCCAGGAGCCCTGCTGGGTGGGGTGCAAAACGGGAAACGCCCAAATAAAAAAGTGAGTGGTGGACTTAACTAGGAAAAAGAACATCAAATTTCATAACTATCTGAACTTAACCAGGATAAAAGAGTTTTTTTTTTTTCTTTTGGGGCCATACCCAGCAATGCTCAAGGGCTACTCCTGGTTCTGCACTCAGGAATTACTCCTGGCAGTGCTTGGGGGACCAAATGGGATACTGGGGATTGGACCCAGGTTGGCTGTGCACAAGGCAAACACCCTCCCTGCTGTACCATCGTACTATTGCTCCGGCCCCATAAAAGTTGTTTGATGATGGTCCAGAGAATGCACAGAGCGTGAGGTGCTTGCCAGGCACACACCCAACCTGGGTTCAATCCCTCACCCCACGGGGTCTCCAGCCTTGCAGGAAGTGATGAATCAACCAGGAGTAACCACTGAGCATTGCTGGGTGTGGCCTCCAACTGAAAATAAATCAATACATTTAGGGTCAGGCACTGTAGTTGGGTTGGGTATTTGCCTTACAGATGGTTGACCTGGGTTCAATCCCTCGTACCCCACTGAGTACCATTAAGTAGCAACCACTGGGTATGACCCAAAGTCCAAATGGAAAAAAAAAGTATTTGTTTAGTAGTCAATGCCCTGCCTTTAGGTTTTGTAGGATGCAGGTTTGAGTTGGTTTGAGTTTTGGGACCACAGGTGGCAAAACTTTGGGCTTATTCCGGGTGGTACTTGGGGGGACCCCGTGTTGTGCCAGAGACTTTACTATGGCTGGATGCTGCAGGCCACACTGCACTCCTGACCTATATGACCCCAGGAATTGAAATTCTATATAAATCCTATAAACCTTGTGAGGACAGGCTGGCATGACGGGGTCCCTACCCAAGGCCCAGCTGGTACCTGCTGGCTCTAGGTATGACCCTGAGGAAGAAGCCTAGGTTGCAATTTCAAAGGTTAGGAGGGATCTGAAAGAGAGGCCAGTGGGCAGGGCACTTGCCATGCATGAGGCAGCCTCAACTTCACTCCCTGAATCCCCAGGGAGTGATCCCTGAACACTGCTGGGTTGGGCACAATTTGCCAACTCTCCTCCTTTCCCTGAAAATAACGGCAAAGAGGAAGTTATCTGCAGTTGTAGAGATGTGATATCCTAGCAGTATGTTCCAGGGTCAGTTCTTGTTTTGTTTTTTGTTTTGGGGCCACACCTGGCGATGCTCAGAGCTTATATGCCAGTATTTCACAGACTAAAAGATTTTATTCCGGGGCTGGAGCTATAGTACAGCGGGTAGGGCGTTTGCCTTGCATGCGACCAATCCGGGTTCGATTCCCAGCATCCCATATGGTCCCCTGGGCACCGCCAGGAGTAATTCCTGAGTGCAAAGCCAGGAGTGACCCAAAAAATTTGAAAAAAAAGAAAAAAAGATTTCATTCCTCTGGTTACATAATTTTGTGTAAGAAAAGTTAGGGGAAAAAATTTACTTGGCTCCAAAGAAATCTTCCTGTGAACGTTCATAGTTTGACTCAGAGCCTCCAACTCCTTTTTTTCCTCCTGACAGCTTCTTGTTGAGTATGTTCCAGAATGTTCACATCTAAGAACTTCCAGTGAAAGTGTGAACAGAGAGGCAGGAGATAGCACATCAGGCTGGAGTGGATGCTGGCCAGCTGGAAGCCTGGGGGCCTTCCCTGGTACCCAGTGTCCACTGATTCCCTGAGCACAGAGCAGCCCACAAACACTATCAGGTGTGACCTCAAATCCCACCTCATCTGCTCCCCGAATAGTGAGATAGACCCAGGGAAAGGAGCTCAGAGGGCTGAGCACCTGTTTTTAAGGTGGGGTACACACATGACTCCGCTGCATCCAGAGACACATGACCAGCTCCAAGTTTGCAGTAAAAGGGCAATACCAATTAAAAAAATGGGGGGGGGGGCAGGATAGAGACCCACAACCCCCCAAAAAGAAGTTCAAAGAATGCTCATGTATCAAGACAAATACTGTAGTGAGACTTTTTTTTATGGGGGTTGGGGGGGGGGGGGAAGAAAGATGTTGGCCAAACTTGCCATGTGCATGTGTGTGTCTGACCCACTTCACTATAGCTTTTTTTTTTAAAGTGGCTCCTTTTTTTTTGGGGGGGGCAACACCTGGCAATACTCAGGAGATACTATGGGGTGCCCAGGATCAAACCTGGATCAGCCACGAGCAAAGCAAATACTCTACCACATGTACTCTCACTTCAGACCTTTACTTATTATTTACTTATTAAAATGAGTAAATTATTTACTTATTATTTACTTATTTCTTAATTTCTCCAACTCTAAGTACTAGGAAACCTGTTGAACCACATATGGCACTGCACTGTCCTCCCGTTGTTCATCGATTTGCTCGAGCGGGCCCAGTAACGTCTCCATCGTGAGACTTGTTGTTACTGTGTTTGGCATATCGAATACGTCACGGGGAGCTTGCCAGGCTCTGCCCTGCGGGCGAGATGCTCTCGGTAGCTTGCTGGACTCACCGAGAGGGGCGGAGGAATCGAACTCGGGTCGGCCATGTTGGCTGCGTGCAAGGCAAACGCCCTACCGCTGTGCTATCGCTCCAGCCCCAATTTATTTATTTATTATGAAATGTATTTATTACTAAAGAATTTTAATTTTCATTTTCGGGCTACTCCTGGCAATGTTCAAGGGACCCAGTGGGATGCCAGTAATCGAACCCGGGTTAGCTTTGAGCAATACCAAGGCCCTCCAGATTGTATTGCTAGGGCCCTAGTAAGACATTTAACGCAGAGCAGCTGGTCCTGGGAACCCCCTTTTCTGCCAAGTACTCACCTCAGCAGCAGGGGGCGCTCCTGGTCAGGGAGAGATGGACAGTGTGGGTGGTGCCTGGAAACTTGACAGGTGAAACAAATTCTTTTCTGGGGAAAAAAAAAATCATTGAGGGCTAGAAGGGAGAACAGCTGAGAGGGTGCTTTCCTTTCAAACTACTACACTAGATTCAGCTTGTGACAGCATATAGGGTCCCCTCGCAGGACTGTCAGGAAGGATGCTTGAGTTCAGACTCAAAAGTCAGCCCTGGGGGCTGGAGCGATAGCACAGCGGGTAGGGCGTTTGCCTTGCACGTAGCCAACACGGCCAACCCAGGTTTGATTCCCAGCATCCCATGTGGTCCCCCAAGCACCGCCAGGAGTGATTCCTGAGTTGCATGAGCCAGGAGTAACCCCTGAGCCGGGTGTGACCTAAAAAGCAAAAAAAAAAAAAAAAAAAGAAAGAAAAAGAGTCAGCCCTGGGCACTAAGGCTGTTTCCCCAAAACTACAATTTAAAAATGAAATATTTAAAAATAATTAAAAAAAATTTTTTTATAAAAATATTTATAAACTAGAAGAAACCTGAGTGCCCAAGAACAGATGATTGGTTAAAGAAACTTTGGTACATCTACACAATGGAGTACTATGTAGCTGTTAGAAAAGATGAAGTCATGAAATTTACATACAAGTGGTACAACATGGAAAGTATCATGCTAAGCGAAATGAGTCAGAAAGAGAGGGATAGACATAGAAAGATTGCATTCATCTGGGGGACATAAAGTAACAAAATAGGCGATTAATAACCAAGAATAGTCGAGATCAGTACCAGGAGGATTACTCCATGGCTTAGAGGCCAGGCGGGCATTCTAGGAAAAAGGGCAGCTCAGATAGAGAAGGGAGCACCAAATAAAGGGTGTTGGGAGGATCCTCCCAGGAGGGGAGATGCATGTCGAAAGTAGACTATGGACTGAACATGTTTGCCACTCAGTGCCTCTTTTGCAAACCACAACACCCAAAAGGAGAGAGAGAACACAAGGGATTGCCCTGCCACAGAGGCAGGGTGGGATGGGGGGATGGGGGTGGGGGGATATTATCCATGGTGGTGGGAAATGGGCACTGGTGGAGGGATGGGTATTTGATCATTGTATAATCGAAACCCAAGCACAAAAAGTTGTAAATCTACAACTGTACCTCATGGTGTTTCACTAATAAAAATAAAATAAATAAATAATATATATATTTAAAAATAAAAATAAAAATGAAAAAAAAACTCTACAATTTAAAAATAAAATATTAAAAATAAAAAATTTAAAAACAAAATAAAAAATACGCAAAATTATTTCCTGTGCCAAGGAGCTGGACTGCCAGCATCCCTGTGGTTCCTAGAGCACTGCCAGGAGTGAGTCCTGAATGCAGAAGCAGGAGGAGCAACCACGAACATTGGCAGGCGTGGCTCCCCCCACCAAAAAAAAAAACCCTAAAAATTAATTTATATAAATCAGTAACGGAGGGTAGCCAATGGAGGTCATAGATTGCATTATGGGAGGCTGGGGCCACACCCTGGAGGTGCCCTCGGTACTTCCTGCTAAGATTGCACACTGGGTTGCAGGACCCCCTGTGGCCCACCCCAACCCCCGGAGCCCTCTCTTAGAGCTCCACGGCCTCCAGAGATAAAAGAACCTAGTAGTTGCACAGGGAACGGGTGAAAATCAAAAGTCTCT